CCACACATAAAAATTAATTCAATATGGACCTAGACCTAAATGTTATCAGCTTAAACTAGAACACTCTTCGAAGAAACGCAGAAGTCAATCTTCACAATTTGTGAAGGTTAGGCAAAGGTTTCTTAGGACATTAAAAGTGCAAGTGATAAAAGAAAAATCATCAAAATTTAAAATTCTGGTGCTGCACAGGATATTATCAAGCAAAGGAAAGGAGAATCCACAGAACAGGAGAAAATATTTGCAAACCATGGATTTGATAAGGGATCTGTGTCCAGTATATATAAAGAACTCTTAACAACTCAATAAAAAACACGACCCAATTAGAAATGGGGCAAAGGACCTGAAAAGATATTTCTTCAAAGACATACAAAGGGCCAGTGGGCACATGAAAAGATGTTCAACTTCATTAGCCTTTAAGAAAATGCAAATCAATACCACAATGAGATACCAATTCACACGCAGATGGTTGGCTATAATCAAAAAGACAGATGATAAGTGGTTAAGTGTTGGCGGGGACAGAGAGAAACGTGGACCCACGTATCCAAGTGGTGGTAAAATGGTGCAGCTGCTTCGGAAAACAGTTTGGAAGTTCCTCAAAATGTCAAACGTAGTTACTTATACGACCCAGCAACTCCAACGTCAGGTGTCTACCCAAGAGAAATGATACGTATGTCCACGCAAAGATCTGCATGTGGATGTCCCTAACAGCTTTATTCTTAACAGCCAGTGTCCAAGTTGGGGAACGTCTGCCAAAGTCCAAATGTCATCAATGGGTGAATGGATGAACAAGATGTGGTTTCCTGTACCATGGAATACCGTTCAGTAAAAAGGAACAAAGTGCGATTATCCACTACGACAGGAGAAACTCTTGAAAAGATGATGCTCCGGGAAAGAAGCCAGGCACAAAAGACCACAGATTATGGGATTCCGTTTATACGAAATGCCCAGAAAAGGCAAAGCCATGGAGGTAAACTAGTAGTTGCCTGTGTAGGGAGTGGAGACAGAACAGACTGCAAATGGGCACAAGGTTTCTTTTTTGGGGGGGAGACAGAAAGGTTCTAAAATCCCAACACTGTACGATTCTGCAAACTGATTAAAAATCACTGAACTGTGAACTGAAAATGAGTGAATGTTATGGTACCTCCATAAAGTTATAAAATAGAGAAAGGCAAAAAAAAAAAAAAGGGCACTCAAAAATAAAAGTTGTCTCTTAGAAATGTTAGGACGGGAACGTTTTACATGCTAATTTTGACGATGATGATGGTGATGAGGTGGGGATAAGTAATCAAAATTCTTGTTTTGGTCACAGAAGCCCTTCTCAAATCAGAGATGATTGGTTTGGCCTAAATATACGGCATAATTAATAGCATTTATTTCATTTTCATTTTCTTCACTGATCTGTTGCAATTTTTCAAACTATAGTATTTTCAACCCCGTTCAGACCTGGATACACATTTCCAGGTCTACTATGTCTAGAAGAGTTCTTAGGTGAAACCTGGAAGAGACAGGGCAAGTTTTTTTTTTTTTTTTTTTTGGAGACTCCAATTATTTTCTGCCACGTGAGAGGATTTCCAGAGGGGACTGAGAAATATTCAGGTTTGGCGAAATCTCTGAAACAGCTTCAGAGATTTAAAACGTCCGGGGAAATCATCTTTTTAAGAAAACCACCGAAGAGCCCTATTCCTCAAGGGGGAAAATATCTGGTAGTAAAATGAAACTGGAAAAAAGAACAGTTTAGGATCCAAAAACAAATTTAAAAAAGGTTAATTTTTGATGCCTATTTTACCTTGATATTACTCCTTTTTTAGAATTTCTTCGAAACAGATGTTGCCAACTTTTTGGAAAAACAATTATTTGCTGGGAGAAAGTAGCTTGATTAGGGTATGTGTCAAGGAAATATAATTATCAATTTGCCTAATTAAAATGAATATCTGAACACGCCTGAGGAATGTGAACCTTCTCAAATGAGGCAAGTACAACTTACTCTGTATAAACATGTGCAGATGGATCCTCACGACAGTGTTAACAGGGAACAGATGACTAAGGATACTGAAGAAGTACAACGCAGTCCTGTCGCTGCCACCCGTCCCCGGGGGGGAAATGGTCTTAGGGTGTTCATACCACCCACTGGATGTCTGTGTGCCCCCCGAATTCTTACGTTGAAACCTAGACCCCAATGTGATATGTGGTGTTGGTGAAGCCAGGAGGGCTTCGTGGTGAGAAGAATTAATGCCTTGTGAAAGGGACCCCAGAGTGCTCCCTCCCAGCTCCCACCGTGGGAGGGCAGAGCAAGAAGATGGTCGTCTGTGAACCAGGCAGCTCTGCACCACACACGCCTTCCACGGGCGCCTTGATCTTGGACGTCCAGCCTCCAGAACTGCGAGAAGGGTCTGCGGTCTATAACCCACCGGGGGTGTGGTGCTGGGTTATGGCAGCCGGAACAGACTGAGACAGCGCTCTTCCCTTCACTTGCCAGGCTTCGCTTGAGGAACAAACGTCCGCAACTTCAGGAGGGGCTTCGAGGAGCGCGAGTGTATGAGGGTTATCACGGCTGTCGTTCTGGGCAATGCTGCTCGAGTTAACCAAAGCCGACAGGCAGTGTGTATTTTAGCGAGAGACCGGGAAAGGCCAGTGGCTTCCCTTTTTCTCCCCGCCCGGCCTCTAGAGCCTCCCTCCCAGCTCCAGCGGGTTCACCTTCCCACAGGGCCGGGCCTGGCAGTGGACCCCCTACAAGCAGCTCTCAAAGCTGCCAGAGATGCGCCCTTGACGAAGACCAGGTGAGGGCAATGGAGGCACCTTGGCAGTGGACTAGGGCTTCAGCACCCAGGGACATGAACCCTCCAGACTGGGTGTTCTAAGCCCGACCCGCCAAGGCAGGGCCTCTAAAATTTTGCCCTGCGCTAAATGGCCCACACCACGCATTCCTGCTGGGGACGCTCGGCCCAGAAAGGAGACCCGGTGTGGGCCCCACTGCTACGGGAAGTCCAAGGTCACCTTCCCTCTTCCTAGCTCAGCAGGGTAAGCCTCCAGTCCTTTTATCTTCCCAGTCTCTCTTCCCACCTCCCTGTTCTTGTCCAAGAGAGTGACTCTCCTTTTCTCTGGACCCCCTGGCAGACCTGTGGCAACTCCAGGGGGTTCAGAAGTTTTGACATCCTCTGTATCCCTCCCTATAATCTCCATCAGAAGCCCTCCCCACAATCACCCGCACCTCTGGCTACCATGAATAAATACACCCGAAGTGAACAAGGCGGGGCATGGTAATGTTGCTTCAAGACAAGTTCTTGGGCTCTAGCTGGCAATCAGATTGCACCCCAAATTCCTCCGATGTAGAAATGCTTTTGCTGTCACTGCCACTGCTAGACGATTCCTTCCAAAATGGAAATCTGATCTGGGTCCTGGTTTCCTCACGCATGCACCTTAAAACTCTTCCATACTCTTTAGAGACAAAACTCCTCAATTACTCCCCCCACCAACCCCCCATCCTTCCCTTTCCCAACTCGCCCAGCTGCAGACTTTGACACCTGTTCCACCCACCCACCGTCCACAGCGCTCTTTCCTCCCTTCAGGGCCTGCTGACCTCACACTCATCCTTCACCATCAGATAACACACCCCTTCCTCGGGGAAGCTGCTCCGCATATCCAGCAACAGAAGGTATACAGGAGAATATCGCCCAGGAGAACTAGAGCTACTTACATCGACACAGATTAAATCTCAAAAACCTCATGCTGGGGGCGGGGGGGAGTCCTATTAAAATATTTAGAAAACGGGCACTACTGCAGACTGTATTTTCCAAAATCTGCCACAGCTATATTTCTGGGCTCCCACAGGCTCTTCGAGAGCCTTGCCACTCCCCACCAAGAGCTGCAGAGAGAGAAAAGAAGGAGGTTTTAGGACAGAGACCTTGAGGAGGAACCTGCTTCTTACATTAGCCTAGCCACGGAAAAAGACGACCCCGGAAGGGGCCGAACTTTAACTAGGGTTGGAAGGTTGAGACAAGGCAGGGCCCTATCAGCCCAGCGATCAGCTATGGGAGCTGAGGAAAAAGAAAGGCCTTGGAGAAAACCAGCGCCGCAGGAAAACAGGGCAAAGAGTAGGATGGCAGGCATGAAGCAAGAAAGGTGATGAGCAGGAGCCAGGTCGTGCAGGGCATCTGGGTGATGTCCCCGGGGGGCTCACAAAACTGGTAAGTGCCTGGGAGGGAATCTTTACTCCAGGCAGCAGCAAAAAGCCAGGGAGGACCCAGAAACCAGGAACGTGCCTCCCTCTTGACTTAGGGCTCGGCGGGTAACCTTCATTTAGCCCATGCTGGGCACTGGGTTAGAAAAATCCTTTTAAGCTGTTCACGCTTCCCCCGGAGGAAAACAAAACAAAACCAAAAAACCCAAACACTTCTGCCACGAGGCGGCCTAAAGCCAAACCCCAAGCACTGAACTCTGACCCGGGCCTGGCTGCCCTCCCGCCCCGCTGTCCCGATGGGCACAGGGCACATTCCGGGGGATGACCCCACTTGCTAGAAGTAAGCGGGCCTGGGGAGTAGAAAACACATCCTGGGGAACCATCGCCATAAAAATAGCCGCATCTCACACGCAGCGAGCGCCGACGAGCGCCGCACACAAGATCACGGTTTGTGTCCCCCGCGGGCAGGTGGGGAAACTGAGGCCGAGCCCTCCTGAGTCACGTGCCCAAGGCAGGGCTGAAAGCAAGTCTAACGCAGCCCAGGCTCCTCTGAAGCACAGTTTGCTGCCTGACTCCTCTCTCAGACAAGTTAGGTCACGGCCAGCGAGGCCCCGCCGCCAACTCGCAACAGCACCCCTCGAAGCCCTAAGCGCGGGCGGTGAGGTCGCTATTGCGGTCCCCAGGTTCCCCATCCCCCACCCCCGGGTGCAGCCCCCGAAGCGGTCCGGCTGGAGGCGCGCGCGCCCCCAGACCGACGGTTCCCCCTGCGGAAGGTTCCGCAGCCTTGAAGTCATCCCCTCCCCGAGCGACAGGCCGGCAGTACCTGAGAGAAACGCGTCTAGGGTCCTGCCCCTGGCTCGGCGGAAAACACCCCCCGCCTCCGCAGCCGACATGGCGAGCGAGTTTCTGCCTCCCGTGGGACGGAGCGGCTGGACGCCACACAACCCAACCGCCGGGCCTGTCCTGCCCCCCTCGGGGCGGCGCCCTCTGCTCAGGGCGGGGCGGCAGGGCCGGCGCGTGGGGCTCGGCCGCTCGGGGCGCCGCTGGTGCTGCCTGAGCGGGGCGGAAGCGTGAGCGGCCCCTCTGGGATAGATTGGGGCGCCTGGCCAGTGGAAGCGCCTAGACTGGAACCCACGTGCATCCGCAGGAGGGGTGCTCTGGGGCTCAGGCTGGGGGACCCTTTCTTTCCCCTCGGGTGGCCTTATGACATCCCACAGGTAAAAATACAGGACACCCCGTTAGGTTGGAATTTCTGATGAACGATTCTGATGAATGATTTAGTATAAGTATAGCCCATGCAATATTTGGGAGATACTTACACTCAAATTTTTGCCTTGTTATCTGAAATTCCAGTGTAACAGGGCTCCTGTATGTCATCCGACAACCCTCGTTTGAGGTCAGAAGAACTGGGCCCTCCCTCAGGACAGTCCTCCAAGCCACCAGCCATGATCTAGGACAACTGATGACGCGGCATTTCATCATCATCCTGTTAGTGTCGTCATCGTTCACGAGGGATCTTAGCTCACCTGATCTTCATACCAGCGCCAGGAGATGGTGCTGTCATTGGCCGCATTTGTCAGAAGGGGAGACTGATGATGCTCAGAGACGTGGAGCCGTTTGCACAAGGCAACTGCCAAGGAGTGAAGTTGCCACTGAACCAAACTGGGATCTGTCCAGGAAAAAGGAAGAAAATAAAAATAAAAAAATAAAGCCATTGTGCTACACTGCTTTAGGCCAGTGTTTGTCAAAGTTGTTAAAAACACAAATTCCAGGAGGAGTTGCACCTGTTGAATCCAAATCTCCAGGAGAAGGGTCTGCTTTTAACTCCTTAAGGAGTCCTTTTGATCTGCCAAGTTTGGGAAATTCTCAGCTAGCTGCCTACATCCAGAAGACTCTGCCTCCAATCTTGGACAAGAGTTCTAATAACGAATGGTCGGTCCTCAATGAGCATTAGGCGTTATTATCATCATCACTATTAATCACCATATCCCTATTCCCTGCATATTATCTGGCCCAGGGGAGGATTCTCAGGAAACAGAGAAGAGGGATAGACAAAGTAAGAATTAAAAGTGGCAGTGGGGGCCTCAAGACCCTGCAAGACACCCACCCCCCACCCCCAGTAACTGTCCTCTTTTGATTCCTTAAACATGCAAATCAAGTTCCCTTTTTGCACAAATGGTTCTTTCTGCTTAGGATGCATGTGCCCATTTAAACATCAAAGCCTCTACTTAATCACATTTCCAAGGAGAGGCTTTACCCCCCACACTTGCACAGACTCTTCCTATTTAAACCAGGTATCCTCGTTCTTTTTATAACACTCTGTTCATGTCTCTTAAAAATAGGTAGCCCTTTGCACAGTTGGTGCTATCACCACACATGGTGATTATTTACAGGTGTACTTGTTTGTTTCAGGTGTCATTATTTATTTCCTGATGTCTTTCCCGACTGTCTTGCTCACCAGGCAGTGTGCTTAAGGCATAGACACCCCTGTGGCTGCTGCATGAATAAATGGATTATGGCTATCCTGACAATATAACCCTGATTTGAACCTGGGCAGTGGTTGGGCATAGCTCTGTTGGTAATGATGATGAGTAACTTCAGAACTACATGGGAATCACTAAATGATAATAATGGCGGGAACCAGACCTGCACTGGGTCCCAGCAGCCTCTTAGCCTCATTACCTGTCCCATCTTCCCCTATCACTGTACAGATTGGTGGTTCCATTCTCCTCTGACCGTGCTCTTGCAGCTCATACCCTCTTTCGTGCAGCTCTCTGCCTGGCAGCATGAGAAGAGCATATTTTTAGACAGTAGGACGTGTTCTGCTGGACCTGTTCAGTCCATTTCCCTTCTGTGCAAACCTTGAGCAAGTCAAGTAATCTTTCTGAGCTTTAACATCTTCATTTAAAATGAGGTTATCATAGCACCAACCTCATTTGCTTTTGTGAGAAGTCAGTGAAGTTCTGGGCAGTTTCTGGAACATACGAGATGCCTGGTACATTTTTTTCTGAGTCGATATTGTTATTATTATTGTCAGACTATCCCTTCAACTCATTCTTTTCTAGTCAAAATTCTCTTTTCTCAAGACCAGGTGTTCTATCGGTCAGGTATCATGTACTAGTAAATAACTCAAAATCGGTTCAAATTGGTTCAATCAAAAAAGGAATCCATTGGAGTATATAAATTAAAAACCCTACAGCTTCAGGTAAGGTTTGATCAAGCTGCTCATAGGATGTTATAAGAATCCAACTTTCTCCATTTATCCTCTCTGCCTTGTATAATTTTGGCTTTACCTTCAGTCTCCATGTAGAGGACTCCTTCCCATCACTTGAAAGCTCCAGGCTCCCCCTTCACAAGAGCAGAATGGCTACAATCATTCTAGACCACACCCTCATGAGATACCACTAGAGAGAAGGTGTAAAAAATCTTTTTCTCAAAAGCTCCCCGACAAACATCCATTTGCATCACTGCAATGCCAGTTTGAATATGTGCTCCTTCTTGAAGCAAGGTCAGAAGATAAATGGTGTGCTTAGACTGGCTGAAGCTAGAAGGACCACCCCTGGAGAAGAAGCGCTATCCATATCACTCAAACCACCTCTCTGGGGATGAAGAGCATAGTTCTCTTAAAATGAGATCTGGATGTCCCAGTTGTCCTGAGACAGGGAGAATGGCTAATTTTTTTTTTAAAGATTTTATTTATTTATTTGACAGACAGAGATCACAAGAGGCAGAGAGGCAGGCAGAGAGAGAGAGGAGGAAGCAGGCTCCCCGCCGAGCAGAGAGCCCGTTGCGGGACTCGATCCCAGGACCCCGAGATCATGATCCGAGCCAAAGGCAGAGGCTCAACCCACTGAGCCACCCAGGTGCCCCCAAATGGCTAATTTTTTTAAAGAGCCAACAGAGAATCCACTGTATTCCCCAGGCACAGGTGAGGGTTGGGAGTGAGAAGAGGGAGAGCATATCAGCCAGTGACTACCATGCCTCCTCCCCACCCTTTAAAAAATGGCCCTTTTCCTTCCATCTTACCCCTTGTAACAGCTAATCCAAATGTGTTGTTACTTAGAGACCCAGATATATAATGAAGATTATCAGTTGCTATACTAGGCTCTATTGTAGCCTCACTCCATGAAGCAAGTAAAACAATTTGTCTTAACGCTCAAAGGCCCTGTGCCGCTGAGCTTTTATCGTTCCTCCATCTACTTTTTAGAGATCTTCCATCGCCTCCTCACTGTCAGGCTGTGTGCTTTCACTTCGCCCTGTTTCTAGAATGTGCCTGTGGCAAGTCTTCACTCTACCTCCTTCTCTTGTTTCTTGTTTGCCCACGTTTGGGAAACCAGATGACAAAGGTGGTTGGGATTAGGAGCCAGGTTGGTTTAAGGATTTGAGCCAGTAGGCTTGGCATAAGGGCTCAATACCTCATTTGGAGGAAAGTGCCTGGGCTTGATGTAGTCATTTCTGGTTGGACTGTGTGATGTGAAGTTTTATGTCCAATTGGCTGGCCCCTGGTGTCAAGATACTTGGTCAAACATTATTCTGTGTGTTTCTGTGAGAGCGTTCTTTAGATTGGTGGACTTTGAAGAGAGCCCATGGGCCTCTGCAATGTGGGTGGGCCTCATCAAATCAGTCGAAGAGTGATTCCTCAAGCATGAGGGTATTCAGCCAGCGGATGGCCTTTGGGTTTCAACTGTAGCACCAGCTCTTCCTAGTTCTGCAGCCTGCTGGCTCACCTTCCAGATTTTGGACTTGCCAGCTCCCATAACTGTGTGAGCCAATGACTTAAAATAAATCTCTTTCTCTACATCTACACATTTTTGCTTCTGTTCCTCTGGAGAACCCTGACTCACACAGATTGTCAGAGGTCTTTTTGGGAAGTGTTAAAGTCCCAGAGTGAGGCTTTAATTCAGGCTGGTATCATCATTCTGGAAGGATGGAGAGTATCCTAGTGCAGCACATTTGAGATACGTGGAAATGTGAGACACAGTATAATGACTCAGCAACGTGAGCACCAGGTACCCCTCACCTTTACCCACTCCTGACCTAAACTTCTTCAGGCGGGACTCAGGAGTGATAGACTAAGAAATGGGGTCAAGGTGCAGGGTAATCCATGAGGATGTCAATTTTACACACCTGATCATTTTTTTAAAACTGAGAATAAATAGCTTAGACCTGGTCAACATACCACATGTCCTTCAGACCCCCAGAGTCAGTGTGTTGTTGTTGTTTCTAATTTATTGACCTCACGATTGTCACAGGCTTGGTATTAACAGAACTTGCACAATTTCTCCCTTTTCAAGGTGTTAGATAATTTCTGAAATGTTGCAGGTGTACCTGTGTTCTCCAGCATAAAAATTAAATCGTGTCCTTGAGACCTTTTAGACATCATCACATTTTGGGTGAGCCACATAGCTCATAGATCATGTTTTCGTTATCAGAAAGAAAATATAACTGTTATCTATGTTACCATGTATACTGATCATTTATGAGTGCCTGCCAGGTCTTTACACATAATCTCTGCTGTTATCCCTCAAAATAGTTTCGCCTCATTTTAAAAATGAGACAATGGAACTTCAAGGAAGCCACGTAACATGCCCAGAGTCATCTCACCATTTACAAAAATACCAAAGCCTACACCCCTCTTCCCTGCCAATCATGGTCAATTTCCATGTCCTTTTGGTGCCCATCCTCCTTGCTGCCTACCGTTTGGTTTGACGAGTCTCTGTTGGATGCAATCTTTTACCCTGTTCAGTCATGTAACCTGAATGTAAGCTCATTCTACTAGCAGCTCTGTGACCTTAGGCAAGTCACTTAACCTCTCTGAGCCACATACATGTTCCTCACCTGTGCAGTAAATGTAATCATGTTCACCTGCAGAGTTGTTGGTAGGAATCAGGGACATAGCATATTTAAACTATGTCTCGTGACACATAATAATTGCTCAATAAA